ATCTGAACATTCCGTCAATGTAAATCTATGGGATTTTTATGATTTTTAATCTTAATTTTTATGAAAACCATAAGTCAGATCAGTCTGAAAAGACAAAAGCACACTAAGTCAGATCAGTCTGAAGAGCTGGGCTGAGTTTGGTGGTTCTAGCTTAAAAGCTCTAGGAGGTGGAGCATTCAGAAATTTAGTCTAAGAATAATAATAATAATAATAAACTTAAGTAGCAGATCAGTTTCTCAAGCCAACCTAATGACTAAATGTAATAATATTAATAGTAATAAGATGGATCATAAAAAAACAAATTTTAGATTTAGTACTGCCCTGAATAAGATATTTTACATAGCATATACAGGCATATACATTTATATCACATATTACATATACATATACAGTTGATATACAGGCCATAAGAGGCCTGATATCAAGGCCCTGTATAAATCTCTTGAATTTTAGGGCCATTCTATACATCATGCAGTGAGTTGTTGTCCTGCATCATGTTCGTCTCCAATCAACTGTGTGAATCATTAGATGACCTACGTATGTCTGGGGCCGGTGGGTGTGTCAAATTAATTTTTTCATAACTAATTAAATTAACACATTAAATTGATAGCCCTAATCGGAAATTTGTAACTTGATAATGCAATCAATTTCTCATACAATAACATATTACACTATGAACATTTTATTATATTAATCATGCAATACTTAATACATTATGTGCAGCGAAAACAAACGCTCTCATAGGATAAGCATGCGCAGTCTCAGGACTCAGACAATGTAATCAGTGTACTATAACGTGAGAAAATGCCACAACCTGTGACACTGAAGATTTTAAATCTGCAAGACAAAAATAGTACCAAAAAGCTTAACCAGTTTCAAATACAATAAAATTTAATGCTTGCTAACATTGTTTTCTATAGTGTGCAACTCAAATACCTTTGTTAAAATCTATGGATAAAATAGAGGATCTCTTACAATCACTCTTGATTAGAGACTTAACAATGGAATTGAATGTCAGTTCTCTAAATGTAGTACATTTCAGTGTTTTAATTACATTTTTTTTGTTTTGGCAGATGGAATGTGCCCAGACTGCGGAGGCTCCCTGGTTATTGGAATTGCGATTGGAGCTGTACTTGTAATAGTTCTTGTTGCAGCGGTCTGCCTTTACCTTTATAAGACTGATAGACTCAGTGAGTATTACAACATGATTACAGATTCTGGGCACACTGCTACAATATTTTTCTTTAATGAAAGTGCTTCAACTATTAGAATTGACAGGACTGCTTCAGAGAGAGAAATATAACTATTGTTTTACGTGGGGAGTATGAATGACCAAAATCTTGAAATAGTTGAAATCTATAATAATGTGGTTAAGTTGCAAACAACTAAACTCTGCTTAACTAGCTTAGCTGCTTAACTACACACCTTAATAACAATTTTTGTTGTGCTGTCCTGACTTGTTTATCTCTGTACCTGATAGTAATGCATATAGACTGTAACTGTACTTATCATCCTTATTTGTAATCCTCTCTAGTTTGCCGAAACCAGAGTAAAACCAATGGAGCAGTGCAAGGGAAACCTGCTAATGGAGTAATAGAAAATCTTCTCCCAGGTAAACTGCTTCAGAGAACACTGAAGTGGAGTGAATCTGTATTTCCCTTTAGATAAGTGCTATGGGGTGTTCACACATAAATTAATTTTATCACTAGAGCTTGGGTGGACGTGAATACACCTACTGCTGGATGTTTTTAATGCACTTCTTACTGGTTATTAACTTATAAAAAATAACACAAATTCGGTGGATTGCTTTAAAACACATATTGAGTATGTTTTGACAGGGAATCAGTTTTTCACTGCCAATATTGAACATTCTGGAGTGCGATTCCCAAAAGCATTGTTAGCAAGTTAGCAACATGTGGTGTTTCCCACAATCATAGTTTCAATTTCATTTTAGACCACCAGGAATTATGTATTAGATAAACAATTTCAGGGAGTTACCATAAATACAGACAAGTTTCCATGAAATCACCACCACCAAATATGATTAATTGTTTATTTGTATAATTACTTATCTGCTTTACTTTAAAGCACACACTTATTGTGACCACTTCACTAATGTTACACTCACTCTGACCTGTTTAAGAGATGCATCATTTTATGGTAAATTAAAATGAATAAGCTTTCTGTGTTTATCTCATTTTGTCTTTCTCTTTGGATTTCACAGGACATACTAGCAATGGACATGCTCCAACAACAGCCATGGAGGTAAGCAGTTAACAGTGCAAGTACAGCAGAAATATCTGCTGCTGTTTTCTGAAATAATGTGCCATAAAGGGCTGTGTAGTGATTCATTACATAATAACAAAAAAAAAATTATAAACTGCACATAAGTATTACATTATTAATGTAATAAATTATTCAGAATTGAAGTATTTTAGTTACCTGCCTTGTAGTAAACCCTCTGTAATGTATTGCTTTCAGTAGATCTTTTCTCGATTGTAGAGACTTAGAAACAGTTGTGTTGTGTTGTGTTGCCAGGCCTTTTGGTGTTAGTGAGCGCACTAGTGCTTTCCTACTTTTCTGCTATCTTCCTGATTGGTTAGTTTTTTCAGCCTAATGATGTCCAGCTTTATCTGCTTCATCCTGAGAGTTCCCAGCAATATCTCGCAAATGAAATTTAACATTTAGAATCAACAACAGAACTGTTAACTGCTTAATTGTTACTGAAACAGTCAGGGAACAGCTCACACCTGAAACTGAATTACACTTCAAAAGGGGACTGCATATAGAAATGCTGTATGTCTGAAATGTTTCTGATTTTACCTCATTTGGATGTAAATAATCTCAAATTCAATTGCTTCTTTTCAAAATTAAAAATGTTTTAATAGTAGTTCAATGTTTATATTTTTTGCAGAAAATAAACAAGTATTTATAACTTCCATTTAAATGATTATATCTCAACAATTAGAAAAATAATTGCATAATTAGAAAGCAGAAATTTACTTGGTCACAGCGACTCAATTTGAAGAGCATGTCATAATCACAAATTAGTACAATTTGTATGGAAATGTTCACAATGCAGCCTAACTTACCTTTGCATTATTTTTTTATTATTTAATAATAATAAAATAACATTACTTTGTGCTCATAACATCATGTTGATAGAAAATTATATTGTTAACATTGGCCGGGGCTCGTGGACACTGGTGCATCTCTAATGATAAGCATACAGTATATGAAGTTTACTAAATGATTCTAACATTTTTCTCATTCGTTTCCCTCTATTAAAGGACCCAATGGAGTGTAAAGTATTGTCTAACTGAAAAAATGCGTATGTATTCCACAATTGTTAAAGAAATGAATCTTATAGTCACGTTACACTGCGATATTGATTATGATTTCTTTTTGTGCCCTAGGAAGCAGGAAAAGTAGTGACTGAAGATGGAGGCGGAATTTGAATTCATTTTCTTTTTCCATCAGAGCTAACATGTGCTTTGCTTTCCTGAATTCTCTTTAGTGTGTAAGAGTCAGACATAGGTTACTGAAGCCGATAGTTTGTAATGACTGCTTTAATCATGCTACTTTCAGTCTGTGTAATTAAGCATGTTCATGTGTGATGAGAAAGGACATGACATATGGGGGATTTTTTACTTTTACCATCCTTAAACTCAAGGAAAATGTAAAACATCTGGAATAACACCTTTTGCCCCCTTTTTCCTAACAAAGGAAGTTAGGGTAGCTGTAGTCGTTCACTGTTATATCCAAAAAGGTTTATTTAAATTAGGTCAAACATTTCAATGGATAGCCATATTATTTTGTTACATTAATTCATTAGGTAAATGCTTTTATCCACTGCATTCAAGCTATACATTTCACCAGTTTATATATTTCATGGGACTCGAAGTCATCACCCATTACTAGAGCTTGTTTTACAGTTTGAGTGACAAGACGACGGAGGTCATGAAGTATGAATTTGTCAAAATAAGTGCTGTGCTTATGTTTTGAATGAGTGATGTTACAGGGTTATTTAGTGGAAGATTTGGCCTTGTTGACTGCAGATGAGCTTAATTTTTTCTTCAGCATTAATAGCATCCTTCCTCTATGCAGAAATAAAGCATGGGACACCACAGATCATGTCATGAGTAAAGTTAGCACAACTGACTGAATAACAGATTCATTGTTACTTAAAGATTTTAAACTGATATGTAACAAGTTAAAAGATTTGATGAATGTAAATAACAGTATTGCAAGTTAAAGGTCATAGGCATTTCATAATATCCACCTGAGAGCTGATGTGGCCATTAGTAAATTTAACTGGTCTGCTTCCGGTATCATCCGCTTCCAGCAGTTTTTAGCTGCACAAAACCACTTGTTTTGCTGCTTGATATTTAAAAATAATATGGTAAGAAATGTGCTGTTTTTAAATGTATTACCTTAATTTTAAATACTGGATTGTAGCTCACGCTCATTTTGAGTTTAAGCTTGTTGAAGTGTTTTTGCATGAAGTAAAACCAGTTCTTATAAAAATGGATCTTCATACTAAATGTCTAGAGCCTAATTTGTTGGGGGGGGGGGGGTATTTGGATTTAAATAAGAACTTTAACACTTAACAGAGCTTGGAACACAGTGTGTGTTTTAAGTTTTCTATTTACATGTTACTGCAGCACAACATCCAAGCAGAAGTGTTTAAGTTAAACTAACCTCAGAAACCACTCATGACTAACAAGAACTTAATTTGTGTAAGAATGGAGGTTAAGGTTTGCACGTTTGTAAACAACGTAGATTATTTGAAGGTAATGATACAACAAAAATAAACAATTAAAAGCAATTTTTCCCCTCCAATACTTGATAGTTTGAAAGTGATATTAAATGTATTTATTCCTTGAGAGCATGTGCCAGGACCATCCTGGGAAGTTTTCAGCTTTTTCACCCCTGATAAATCTGCATCCCTGGACAGTAAGCTGCTTTAGTCTTAAATGCTTGTCAGAATGAACACTGTGCAAAGATAATACATTTTATTCAAAGTCAGACAACAACAACAGGAGGATTCACACTCCCATTGCCGGTGGTTCACCTGGGCCTTGTTCAAGGAGACTACAAGAAAATGGACAACAAATCATCAGCTGGCAGACAATAGAAATAAGTCACTGTAATAGATCATGAACATCTGAGTGAATGTACATAAATTCTGAACACACTCACCTTTCCATCGAAGCAGGTCTCTGTGCAAGGCGACCCAGAGGGCAAGCACACTTCGGTAGAGCACATGAAGTAAATCTGTTTGCAGGGAGGAACACGTGAACCACTGTCTTGTCTTTACACAAACACATGATCAGAAGCATGATTTGGAGTTACCTCCTCATTCAGGTACTTTCTGGTGGACAAATCCATGAACTGAAAGGCTTTGATCTCAAAGCGACGCTGGTGCTGATTCTGAGGAAGATGTTTCATATAAAGGATAGAGGTGCTGCCAGAGTCGAGAGGATTGGGGCATCTGCATAATAAGTGTAATACACAAATCAATGCTGAAGAGACATCGGAGAAAAGCAAAACTTCTAACTTTCCGGTTTAATACTATAAAGCTGCTTTGACAATCTAAAGCACTATAAAAAAAAAAAAAACAAAAAAAAAAAAAAAGGTGACACTGCAAATCAACTTTATGGAATTAACTGAACTGAAATTAAAGGCTTTGAATTGCAACAGGTAACTATGGAAACTATGTTAATGAGCTTAAAATACAAAAATGCACAAATCAAATATGGCACGGTTTCTTACCCATCAAACAGCAGAATCAGGGCGCTCTGAGCGGAGCGTGGATAGGCCACACAGTAGTGAACTATGAGAGTCGCTGCAGGTTTTCGAGACTTCAGACGCAACTCCAGATACACAGGCTTCCCCAAAAGAACATGTAGGGGCTGATGACACCGTGGATAAAACTTGGTGAAAGTCTCATCTGCCAAAAACAAACAAAAAAAGGGGTCATCTCAAATAGTAAATGCTATGATTGTATGGCATATTCTATCAGTACTGATTAATCAGAGAGACCAGGGCCCGCAGTCACAAAACATCTTAAAGTAGCTCATAACTCGCAGATTTAGGAGAAAAGCCGAAAAATTATGGACGTCGGTCCTAAATTTAGGACTCCTAAATTTTTTGCTCAAAGTATTTCACAAAGCGTTTTTAGCAGTAAAACTAGCTCCTAAATCTGTGAAAGGTTAGGAGTAGTGAAGAGGACTCCTAAGTCACTAAGACCAAGCCACAAACTATCATAAAACAGCGGTTGCTGGCAATCTGCCTCGGAATATAAACATTTTAGAAACACTTGACGATAATGAGCTTTTAAAAAGGTAACCCCTTTGGTTTTGGAGGTTATCCCAACTCCTAATTTTCCTTTGATTATATCCTTGTTTCCATTAAGCAGTTGGGCAAGTAGTAACAACTGTTTTGTTTTCTTTGACATTTGCATGTTTTACTATGTCATGATTATTCTACTGTTACTCTATTGTTACTTAAAAGGCTGTTGATATATCTGCTAATTGTTTATGAGAAGCACACATGTAAGAGGCTGACACTTAGCCTGCATTTTAAAATCTTTTTGAATGAGGCAATTAACATTTTTATTTTTAAACCTTTGAATATGATATCGCGCGTCACAATATTTCTATGAATAAATCTCTGACAGAGACTATCAGCCAATCACTGTGTGCATAGTTAGTAAGCATGCTGACATCCATAGCAAAGAGGTCAGAGCTTACTCTGAGCTCAAGACTTCTCTATTCCTTAGTAAAAGTTGGTCTCAGCAGCTTTGTCAACAGGTTAAGAGAAAACTTAGCTAAAATTTTTTCCTGGCATTTAGGAGAACTCTTATTGGTAAGAAAGTTGTGTGAATACGGGCCCAGCTTGACATGGCTATTGAAGTTTACCCATAGAGATTAAAAGCTGAACTCCAAACAGTCCTTCAGACAGCAGGTATGGAGGCAGACTGGGACTCATAACCATGTATCCTGCACTCATAAGCACGGGTCGGCCAACCATGGGAGAGGCTGCAACCCTCCGGTAGCGGCATTCGACCATCAGTCTCAGGAGCACAGAATTAAAGACAGAGGAAAAATAAAAAAAACATAGGCATACAACAGCAGCCTGTAAGATTATGAACGCTGTTTAAAAAAAAAAAAAAAAAGTAGCCTGAACATAGATTTTTTAGGAGAAGTCAGTTTAAAAGTTGTTTACCTTACTTAGATACTCATATTTATTCACAATATATACCAATGTTCTCCCAACTTTCCAAATTGAGTCATCTGAACAAACAATTTGACATTATAATATATATATTGCAAACAATATTGCACAAGTTCCCAGCATTGCAGCTTGAAAACGTGGTTAATTATTATTAAAATGTTATCAGTTTTACATTTTACAGAGTTAATTTATGCTGCGGTCACTGTCAGTTTGCTGTCGTGGATCAGAGTTTATATTTTTACAGATTTAAAATTTGTTGATCCTCACCATGATTGAGAATCGTGTGCCGAAGTACTTTATATGTGCATCTCATTGCAACTTAATACATTTGTCATACATCAGCATAAATGTTTGCCTTTAGTTAAGAGGCAGATACTACCCATATTATACAGTGAGCTTTGAAAATAATGATAAATCTAAAAGACAGTATTGTTAAAGAGGATTAGCATTGATAAATAATCTTTAGTTGATCTGACAGATCTTTGAAAATTCAATAGACTGACTTATTCATTAGATGAGCTAAAGTTTTTAAGTTGTCGGTTGCTTGTCGAGTTAACTTAAACCGAGTGTGATAGGTTGCCTTATTTTGAGTTAGGTCAAGATTTTTTTTCCCCAAGTGAAGACTTGGAACCATATGTACTGATAAAAAAGCACTATAAGACCAGGAACATGCATTGAACACAGCAAAAGAACGGTCAAAAACCTGATTGGGTTATCCCTGGAGATCATGCCGTACTTCAGGTTGCGAACTCTGATGATGGTCTGTACCTCAGCCAGGTAAATTATCGTCTCGCCAATTACCTGAAGAGCAGCTCTCCTCTTATTTCAAATGAACCAAGTCAGTGTAAAGAAGAAGCGGACTCACAAAATACTCACGAAAGAGCGCGTTTCACACTCGGAGACAGAAAACTTGAAGATGGCGAAGTCTTTGTTGGAGATAACAGGCTTGCAACCAGGCTTTCCAGCAACCATCAGGCTCATGGGGTTCACAGAGATGTTTGCGAAATCATTATAAACAACAAAGACAAAGTTCTTATCAGCAGTGCATTCTGGGAAAATAAGAGGGTTGAGCCAAATTAAACTACATTTGAAAACAAGACGTTAAAACAAATACATTTATATATAATAAAAAAATAAAAAAATAAAAAAAAGTTAAGCAGTACATAAGTGCTGTCAAATGATTAATCGCATCCAAAATCAAAACTTATTTTCATCATATATGTATGATTACTCTGTATATATAAATTCACACAGTATATTGAAAATATTTACATGTACATTTATATTCATATAATTTATATTATAAATACACATTTAATATGTAAACAATTTTTCATAAATGTATCCACACATGCATGTGTATTTATATACACATAATAAATATACACCGTACATAAATATTATGTAAACAAACTTTTATTTTGAATGCAATTAATCACGATGAATCGTTTGACAGCACTACAGTAAAACAGATCACATCCATGAAAAGGTACACTGGTACCTCAATATGCTTTCTCAGATTTGATGGCAAACTTTTGAAGCCAGATATTTACTTAATGAAAGTTATAGCTGAAGCTGAAATGTGCTTGTTGCATGAAAACAAACCTCATTGGTTCTCACACAACATATGCATACGTTTGAGCTTCGGTTCACCCATTTAATGCATGCAAGATAAAATAAAAATGCATAAAATGTAACAAGTATTTTTCACCTTATTTTGAGTTAGGTCAAGATTTTTTTTCCCCCAAGTGAAGACTTGGAACCATATGTACTGATAAAAAAGCACTATAAGACCAGGAACATGCATTGAACACAGCAAAAGAACAGTCAAAAACCTGATTGGGTTATCCCTGGAGATCATGCCGTACTTCAGGTTGCGAACTCTGATGATGGTCTGTACCTCAGCCAGGTAAATTATCGTCTCGCCAATTACCTGAAGAGCAGCTCTCCTCTTATTTCAATGAACCAAGTCAGTGTAAAGAAGAAGCGGACTCACAAAATACTCACGAAAGAGCGCGTTTCACACTCGGAGACAGAAAACTTGAAGATGGCGAAGTCTTTGTTGGAGATAACAGGCTTGCAACCAGGCTTTCCAGCAACCATCAGGCTCATGGGGTTCACAGAGATGTTTGCGAAATCATTATAAACAACAAAGACAAAGTTCTTATCAGCAGTGCATTCTGGGAAAATAAGAGGGTTGAGCCAAATTAAACTACATTTGAAAACAAGACTTTAAAACAAATACATTTATATATAATAAAAAAAAATAAAAAAAAAAGTTAAGCAGTACATAAGTGCTGTCAAATGATTAATCGCATCCAAAATCAAAACTTATTTTCATCATATATGTATGATTACTCTGTATATATAAATTCACACAGTATATTGAAAATATTTACATTTATATTCATATAATTTATATTATAAATACACATTTAATATGTAAACAATTTTTCATAAATATATCCACACATGCATGTGTATTTATATACACATAATAAATATACACCGTACATAAATATTATGTAAACAAACTTTTATTTTGAATGCAATTAATCACGATGAATCGTTTGACAGCACTACAGTAAAACAGATCACATCCATGAAAAGGTACACTGGTACCTCAATATGCTTTCTCAGATTTGATGGCAAACTTTTGAAGCCAGATATTTACTTAATGAAAGTTATAGCTGAAGCTGAAATGTGCTTGTTGCATGAAAACAAACCTCATTGGTTCTCACACAACATATGCATACGTTTGAGATCAAATGAAAAAGGTCACAGATTTGTCTCAGAGGTGGAACAAGTCATTACATTTGGATGAAAAACATTTTTCTTTGGAAAACCACGCACTGACCTATTTTGGAATAGGACCATGAATGTGTATAAAAGTTAAACAGATTGTTAATTCATTCTCATGTCATTCTAAACCTATAAGAATATCTTCCCTTTTGATGGTCAATAGGATCCAAACAACATAGATTTTTACTGTACTCTAAAAATGATACAGATACTTCCATTTTTGGTACTTGCCTATACGGAGTACCGATACTGATATTTTTATTGCATTTGTAAATTTTTTTTAAATATTGGGTACAGAAACCAAAAGGGTATGTATAATGTTAGTTGGTTAACTTCATTTATCAAATAGATAGTCAAACCAAAGTTTTTTCAGACACCTTCAACATCTCACATTATCACAGTTTATTCGCTATACCACACTAGTAAAAAAAAAAAAAATACAAAAAAAAAAAAGGCAAATTATATCTGGTCTCTGAATCCTTTTTGGTTTGACTATATCCTTCGGTTATTTATCCACACTTAATTATGCCCATTAAAATGTATTTTACAAGTTTGTTACTTTCACAGGTTCATTTTTTTGCTCTATGGTACATCATCTTTATTTAATAGCATTAGAGCTGCTCCATTGCAGCGGCTTAGTACTGTAATCACGCGCTTTGCTGTAATAATGCAGGGAACCACTCGCTATAAATCTCCTAACTGTGATATTTTCAGAAATAGAAGTCACGGTTTTTCATCTGAAACGTGCAGCGATTTATATTCCAAAGCCACTCATATAATGCAGAAACACTCGAGCAAGCAAAACACGCGCAACGCACTGATGCAGAATAAGAGGGTCAAGTATAGCGCATTTCACACAGGCTGCTAGATTCACCTCTCTCTCTCATTGCTTTACTTGTTTTTGACATATCCGACCGAACTACAAACTTTCCAGTGATGTCTGTGAGAAAGACATATTCACTCGACAAGCTCGCGCATCTGCGCAGCCGCGCACTCAATCCACTCAGCGTGATTTGTTTATCAGCTCGCGCACATCAGCTATACAGGCGTTAATACTGAAAGTTTAACATTATATTCATTGCAAACATATACTTCGTAGTAGACATCCTTAACTCCTTTCTGCTGTCTGTTATTGGCGTTTCTTTGTTTGAATATGGCACTCATCACATGCTGTGTGGTATCGGCGTTTGGTATCGGGGCATTTTAACCAGTACAAGTACAGGAGACCAGTATCGGGCCCGATACCGATACCAGTATCGGTGCATCCCTAGTTAAATACAGCCCAGTGCTGGGTGAAATATGGACAAAACCAGCAACTGGATTGTTTTGACCTAGCGGTTGGGTTAAATGTTTAACCCAATCCTCTGGGAAGTAACCCAACCGCTGTGTTTGTACATATTTTACCAAGCACTGGGTTGTATTTAACCACGCATTTTTTTGTGTGTATATAGACTTTGTACATGTTTGGACTGCTGCTTTAATAACGGACTTGATGTTAAATTTAGGAGTAGAAATCGATATCTTTAACTTGATTGCACAGACTATTGAACTGAACGATGACATCACCGAACCAATGATGAACTGACTTTAACTTAAATTGAGCGTTTACTGTTGTCCTTTTGCATTATTAAACACGGTTTTCCTATTTAATACTGTAAAGCTGCTCTGACACAATCTGTATTTTTAAAAGCGCTATATAAATAAAGGTGACTTGACTTGAAATGACTCCAGAACGCAGCAGCAAGATTCATTTTTAATGAGCCGAAAAGAACGTATGTCACACCTCTGTTTATCAGTTTGCACTGGCTACCAATAGCTGCTCGCATTAAATTCAAGGCATTAATGTTTGCCTACAAAACCACCACTGGCTCTGCACCCCTTTACCTAAATTCATTACTTCAGACTTATGTGCCTCTAGAAGCTTGCATTCTGCAAGTGAACGGTGCTTTATTGTTCATCCCAAAGAGGCACAAAATCACTTTCACAGACTTTTTCATTAACTGTTCCCTCCTGGTGGAATGACCTGCCCAACTCAATCCTAGCAGCTGAGTCCTTAGCCATCTTCAAGAATCGGCTAAATACACATCTCTTCCATCTTTATTTAGTGACCCTCTAACTCTAGCACTCTCTATTCTAATTCTATTCTTAAAAAAATAATTTAAAAAACCTTGTCCCTTTTAGACTTGCACTCTATTTATTTACTAACTGCTTCTTTCTGCTGTCTGTTATTGGCGTTTCTTTGTTTGAATATGGCACTCATCACATGCTGTGTGGTATCGGCGTTTGGTATCGGGGCATTTTAACCAGTACAAGTACAGGAGACCAGTATCGGGCCCGATACCGATACCAGTATCGGTGCATCCCTAGTTAAATACAGCCCAGTGCTGGGTGAAATATGGACAAAACCAGCAACTGGATTGTTTTGACCTAGCGGTTGGGTTAAATGTTTAACCCAATCCTCTGGGAAGTAACCCAACCGCTGTGTTTGTACATATTTTACCAAGCACTGGGTTGTATTTAACCACGCATTTTTTTGTGTGTATATAGACTTTGTACATGTTTGGACTGCTGCTTTAATAACGGACTTGATGTTAAATTTAGGAGTAGAAATCGATATCTTTAACTTGATTGCACAGACTATTGAACTGAACGATGACATCACCGAACCAATGATGAACTGACTTTAACTTAAATTGAGCGTTTACTGTTGTCCTTTTGCATTATTAAACACGGTTTTCCTATTTAATACTGTAAAGCTGCTCTGACACAATCTGTATTTTTAAAAGCGCTATATAAATAAAGGTGACTTGACTTGAAATGACTCCAGAACGCAGCAGCAAGATTCATTTTTAATGAGCCGAAAAGAACGTATGTCACACCTCTGTTTATCAGTTTGCACTGGCTACCAATAGCTGCTCGCATTAAATTCAAGGCATTAATGTTTGCCTACAAAACCACCACTGGCTCTGCACCCCTTTACCTAAATTCATTACTTCAGACTTATGTGCCTCTAGAAGCTTGCATTCTGCAAGTGAACGGTGCTTTATTGTTCATCCCAAAGAGGCACAAAATCACTTTCACAGACTTTTTCATTAACTGTTCCCTCCTGGTGGAATGACCTGCCCAACTCAATCCTAGCAGCTGAGTCCTTAGCCATCTTCAAGAATCGGCTAAATACACATCTCTTCCATCTTTATTTAGTGACCCTCTAACTCTAGCACTCTCTATTCTAACGCCATTCTTTAAAAAAAAAAACTAACATTAGCTTCTCTATTCTTACTTGATTCTCTTCTCTATTTGTTTTCTTTTCATTTATTATACAATAAAAAAAAACTTGCTATCTGTACCGTGTTAAGGTAAGTGAGACTTGTCATAGCACTTGCATATTCTTGCTCTTTTGTTGATTTTGACTGCTTCATTTGTAAGTCGCTTTGGATAGGTGTCTACTAATGTAAATGTATAACTTCGTTAATACCTCCAAGGTGACATGACAGCCAGTGTAGTCAACAACCAACACATTATTGCCGTGGTCTTGTGTCAATGAGTATCCACAGGCCGCTGGGGCCCCAAGCACAGACTCAATCACTGAAGCACCTGGAAATAATTACACATTAACAACAGAAACTGAAATGTTAATTAAATATGCATGTATGAAAACACAAACTGCTGAACATACTAGTACTTACCCAAAACCTTAACCTGACTGAGAGAGCCAGCTGGCAAAATCACTTTCATAGCATCATTGTTACAGTAAACTGCCAGCTTTGATTTCATCAGCTGTCCACCGTCTTGAGTAGACACTTCTGAGTGATCAGCTTCACCATCAGAATAATCATCATTATCACGACCAAAGACTAACATTTAGCTCACATCTAAACAGTTAACACGAGCCTGATGTTAAATTGTAACATTACTGACAACAATATTACTGTCGTTAATAATCATCGGTGACTAAAACGTAATGAAATAATATGATTGCAATGAAAAGCTAATAAAAAGTTGAACCAGTACATCACAGATGTTCACCGTGTGCCAAATCCTACCTAGACAGCATTTTTTGGCATCATATATACATTCCACACTCAAAACAATAACACTGTTTAGGCTCGGCTCGCTATATTTCGAGGCAGAGCTATTAGGCTTTATCAGTGTTGGGGAGTAACTAGTTACCTGTAACATAATTACGTAATTTAATCAGAAAATACATGTAATTGTAATCAGTTACTGTTAATGAGAAAAAAACTGTAATTAAATTACAGTTAGCCTACTTATGAAAATGTTAAGGATTACAAAGGTAAGGATTATCTGAATATTTTCACACCCACATACAAGTTTAATTGATTTCTTTCATAAATTGCAGTGACTGCTCCAAAATATG